AGACAAGACAATGGATCCCTTTCTCTGCCAGACGAACATATGGCTTTTGTCTCTTCTCCTTTGTTCTGCAATTGTCACTTTGCTTCTCCAATTGTCGATAGTTTTAATAATTTTGAATAACTCGCAAACTTCCAAAGAATAATTAATAACAATTTTTACTGCCTTGTATTAATTAATATCGTAAGCTCGATTTACTGGTAATGTGTCGAAAAGATTAAACTTTATACGCCTTCAAATTGCCAAAAGTTGGATCGTATAAAACCACAAGAAACTTGGACAATTTTATTATTAAATTATCTTATGAGAGACTCGTTATAAAGACAGTAAGGGCCTTATAAAATGTTCTTTATTGTGTCTTTATTTCTTGAAGTTAAAAGAGGATTTTTTTAAGCTGAAAATGTAGCTAGGACTCCTATTTGGTGCCTCAAATAAACCACAGTATAACCTACTTCTTCCGCCTAACATTCTTAGCCCTATGACGCCACAATCTAACATTCATACAATGCTAATTTCAACATTTTTCCATAAGAGGAATGAGAAATCTTTATGGGTCTTTCAAATTATCTCAGGATTTTTTGGCCTTTATAAGATATATTTACATTAAAATATTTATAATATAAAATATTTATGATGGCAATTTATTTAGAACTTGAAAATACAATTTCTATGACGTATTGTAATTTTCTTCTTCAAGATACAATGTCCTCCCGAGAGACTTTTCTTCAATAAGCTTAAATGGCATCTCAAAAAAACTTTTATATAGAAAAAGTTTAAGCCTGGAGGCACACCAGGCAAACTAGACTTATCTAGGGCCCGTATCTAAGAAGTATCACCTAGGGCCCGGCATTTTCTTAATATGGCACCGAGGCGTATCAATAATCTTTCATAATGACAAGTTGCAAGTGTCTTTATATATATATATATATTTATTATTTACAAATTACGGCGAGGCTTACATTTTCAATACGTTAGAAGGCCCTTGAAGAATTTTAATTTATTATTAAAACTCGCACAGCAAACCGTTTACTTCCATAAGAGAAAAAAATTCCTTAAACTGCTCTTTATTCATATTATTGCAGGATGCGGAAAAATGAAATGTATAACAGGATTTTTAATCTCCTAATTAAACATTAGTTTATAGCCAGAAAAAAGTAATGGAAGAAGGAGAAAAAAATATATTTAAAAAGTTTGTAAAAGACCTTATATATATATATGTATATATAAAATTTTAATAAGGAATTATTTTTAAAAAATTGCTTTTTTTAATCCAATTTTTCTCGATTATTTACTTATCTCTGTTAAGAATCTTTAAATATAATCTAAAAATAGCTTCTTTACTATAAATATATCACACTTTAAACATCTTTAAGTACCTATTTAATTCTCTTAAATTCGTATTTTAAGCATCACTCCATCGAAAAATTATTTAGTTTTATTGAGTATATCTTCCACTTTAATTCTCTTTAAGGAGTTATATCCTCTCAATCGTCTCTAAATGATATTTTAAAGATGTTTTCCTTGATTATCATCCAATTTAATTCTATTTATGTATTTATTTAGGACTTTTCTAAGGTTACTTTAAGGCATTTTCTAACACACTAAAATGTACAATTTATTGAATGTGCCTTGCATTTTAATCCCTTTTTATATATTTATCTAGGACTATATTGATCCTATTTTATTTTTATGTGACTTTTAAAAATTCTTTTTCACTATTTTAGCNCTTTGCATAACTTTGCTTTATAGAGACTTACAACTTGTGGCTCTCTCCTCTTTCTCTTCCTATTATTCTCTCCCTTTATATCTTCATATAAATATAAATTATTTTGTTAAATTTAGTTAAAGAAAATAAGAATTTGTTAAGAAAAAAGGACTTAAAAAAATAAACAAATTTTTAAAGAAAAGAAAACATAGAATATATACAAAAAATAAATAAATAAATAAATGGCACGAACCATTATGATGTTTATGTAAGGAAGTAAATGTAAAGCTTTAGAAATCATTGGAGTTTTTCTTTTCTTTGCATGTAAATATTTTTTCTTAAAAGGAAAATATGTTTGGTGAATTTACAGTTAAATTTTACAATATTTTAAACTGTAAATTCTTAATTATTTTTTTTTAAGAAAATGTAAAACAAAGGTAAATTATTCTTCAAATTCTGCATTATTACTTAACTCTAAATCAAAAAATGTTGAGTTAATTTTTATTTATGACAGTAAAAATAATTTTACAATAATTTTAATGTATTCAGTAGTATTATTTTCTATCTAAAAATAAAGTTTTAAAATTTAATTTNTTCTCTGACTTTAGACTTTATCTAATGATTATAAGCCGTATTTTAAGCATCTGTAAGAGTTAATATTAAAAGTTTTATGTATATTTTACTCAAATTTTTAAAATTTATTTATATACTAAGGCCTAGAGAAGATATTCAGCTCTCTAGATACTAGTTTACTTTAAATCTAATGGGTTGATCTTAATAGACTATACTTTTCTATATGTTAAGAATATAGATCAAATATACACTAAATGTAATAAGTTAAACGAATAATAAGACTATGAATAATTTTATCTTATAATATACAGTTTAATGTAAAAATAGAGCCTACAGATGAGAAATTATTCGAGAAAGATAACGAAAAGTTGAGTTATAACATAGGCTTTATGCAGACATTAAGGTGGATTTTATATACATTTAAATACTAAAATTGCTTATAATTACAAATAACTGAATACTGATATGAATTTTATAGATTATATTTGCTAAAATATTAGCTATTTAGGTCATATTTTTCATCTATTAGATTTTATGGAGCATCAAGTTATAGTCTAAATAGGATTCAATAAGCAGCTTTAAATCTACTTAATTGTAGAATTATAGTTAATCAGAGCTTAAATTAGATCCCATATGCTAAATTAAAAGCTGTAAAATAAATATAAGCACAATTTTTAGCCTTTTAGATTATAAAATAAACTCGAATTTTGTAGAAAGATACAGGAAGATCCCAAGAGTAATATAAGAAATCTTATGATTATTTTAAAAAATAATAACTATAAATCTCTAAATACGTCAGAAAATGAAAATAAATATTGTTTTGAACAAATTCTTTATGATCTTTTCTATATAACTGAAAGATTTAATGTTTTCTAAGGTTTATTTTTTTTATTAAGTTTTAAGGTTATTAACTAGAAAAAAATAATTTATATACAATATAACTTTATACTTTAACTTATAAAAAAAGAAATAAATTAAAGTCTACTTCAAAAAGAAAAAAAAATTCAGGAAAAATCATGTTAATTAACAAAAATTTGAAAATTTAATTAAGTTGTCTTACTTAAATTTTTATTACAATTAACGGATCTACTAATTATATTCAAGATAATTATAAATAATAATGAGACGTTCGAGTTACTCTTAAGAATAAAGAAAACTTGGATGAGATACATTAACAGTTATTCATCAGGAACAATGTTGTGACATTCATTCGATACTAATTGCTTAATTTGATGTTGTTTTCTTTACAGTTTGTTATTAGCTGACGATTATATGTCGTCTTTAATGAAACATCCAACTATTATATTTAATGTTGGCACTTTTCATAAGAGAAGCCCACTAAGTAGATATTAATCTCTCCAACATTCCACTCTTTTCTAACTTGACAAGTGGAATGTGTTTAAAATCGAATTAAGATCTACCTAACCGCATTCATTCCACACATTAGAAAGAATCAATGCCGAGAAAAGAGCTTCCTTGATCCCTATCATCAAGTTTAGGTCTTCAAATCTTATTAAAATTTCAGTTCATCAACTTCATATATTAAATCATGAAGCACTTCAGCATCAATGGATGAACGAAAATACAATCAGAATTAAATTTAAAATTTAAATATATATATATATATATATGTATAAGTGTGTTACACACGCGATTTCATTATTACTACTGTGCTAGCCGCTGTAAATGTTCAACGTTCTCATTACCGTCACCTTGCTTTACCCGGTAACGCTCTGCGGAAGCGGGGACGTGTGTACGGACATATTACTATGAAACATATCTGCATCTGTACGTGCGTCCGTCGTCCCGTTTCTCCTGCGGCCTCCCGCCCGTCGTACGGTCGCTGTGGCGTCGGCGTTCGCGCCGGCCGCCGACTCCTGTCTTCGCCCGTCTCTGCCGTCGTGTTCTTCCTTCCCTTCCCCGCATGTGTACGCAAAATGCATCGGCTGGCGCCGACAACGGCCTCTCGTGTGTGGCATCGGCGTTCAATCGGCCACGCCTCTGTGTCGTTGGCACGCCGTTTGCGGTCGTACCGTCGATCCCGCCGGTTCGTTTGCATACGGTTTGGGACTTAGGCCACGCCTCCTCGTCGTTTGCATGCCGTTTGCGGNTTATTAAAAAAGTAAAAATTAAGAAACAAAAAGTATGTTTACTTTTAAATATATTTAAAAAAATTAAAATCAATTATTATTTATATTTTTTAAAATTATAATTAAATTTATATAAAATTCTTTTAAATTTCGACTTAAACTCACGGATGAGTGAATTGATAATGCATAGAAAAGATGTACAATTTAAATTATTCTTATAATTTTATTATAATAAAATATTGAATATTTATGAATCATTAAGGTTAATTTTAATATAAAATTTAATTTTATATATTAATTTATCATAATTATCGTAAAATTATCTGAATGTTCTCATATTGCATGCCATCAAGTGATGATCTAGTTTCAGCATATCTTAATGTGTAGGGCCTGAAGAAGAGAGAAAGGCCCTACTCTTCTCTCTGAATGTCATAAAAATGTATGAATAAAAGAAATAAAAACAGATTTTTTACCATTTATAAAAATAAATTTAATTTAAAGCACTTTATTGTCACTTTTTTAACATAAAAGATTAAATTTGGGACCCCTTTATATTTGGAACCATATATAAATGTTTTGCTGTTATATATCTAGGCTTAGGCATACATATACTTATATATAAATATATAACTTACCTCCTACTGCTTCACATGTTAATCTTAAACTTTCTCCCTCGTTATAAGGACCTATCAAACCCTTTACGTGCCTATCTTCTTCATCAGTGATGATTGGTTCACCCGGGGGCACTATCAATTGAAATAATTCTAAATTAATCATACGACAATATAATTTTTATAGAAAAGAATAAAAAAAACTAATATTTATAACAATTTAAAATATATATATATATNTTACGAATTCACGACATTGTAAGAATTGCATTTACTGTATAAAGTTTTATCTGAATTGCTTCATATAAAGGCATTATAAAAAGAAAGAATGGGCGTGATAAAGAAAAAAATTCAACAAATTTTATAACTTATTGGAAAGAATTTTTATTCGACTATCCAAAGAAACAAACTTCCAAACAAAAATTGATTTTTTTTTGTCTGTTTTCAATCGTTTTTAGCATCTTTCATTCTCGCTACATGTCTAAAAATGATTTCAAATTACCTGATAAATTATTCGTCGAAGTGTTTTTGTTGGAAATTTTTCATCTTGTTTTTATTCCAAATGATTAATGATACAAATTAATATACTTCTTTAAAAAATACAAAACTTACGTGTAATTTTTTATGTTTCGTATTTTTAAACTTAGAACATAATTATCTTAATTTTATAGAAGGAATCTTACATAAACTAATTAGTAGTAGATCTCATTTATTGATTAATAACGTTTAAGATACTTTTAAGTGTGTAATAATTCTAAGAAAATTTATATCCAATGGGTGTTGGGGTGTGGTCAATTAGACACCTGCCTAGCTTGTTGTGGGTATGACTTATAAGCCGCACCATGCTGTGGTTTTAGGAGGATTTTTCCTTCCTGTAGTACTGTAGCATCCAGCAGGAGATTGTTGACCTCTTTCCCATATCCTTTTGTCTGCATCGTGATAGATAAAGCTTGATTTTAGAGAGAAGCGACCCACCTGTCACGTCTATTGTTTTAACAACAGTTTATATAATAACTGTGTTATTAATTTCTGAAGATTCGATAAATCAATAAACACTTATTTTTAATCAGTTTCAAGTATCCACTTTGCATAACTTTGCTTTATAGAGACTTACAACTTGTGGCTCTCTCCTCTTTCTCTTCCTATTATTCTCTCCCTTTATATCTTCATATAAATATAAATTATATATAGAAAGTTAGATAAAATTGTGCTCGAACATATTGCTTTATCTCGTTATTGTCACCTTTGTTTCTTACATTCTTTTTCTCGTTAGATTTCTGGATGTTGTAAAGAGCAATTACAGAACAGCTTAGAGGAGAAAAAGAAAGAAAGAATTATATTCTTTGTTTCGCTATTTCCAAGCAGAAAATTATTCTGTCGAGTTATTTATATGATAATTAATCAAATAATTAATAAGCAACTCATAATAATACGCTGATAAATTTTCTCTAGCATTAAAAAAAATAATCATTAAACACGAAGTAACTAATTCGGTTTACTAATAATTTCATCCTACAGAAAAAAAAATCAATAATTTAAAAATATACAACGTGTAAAGATTAATATTTACTTTAAGATAGTGTTTAGAATGTAAATTATTTTATTAAAATTATTTTAATTACTAAGAATTCATAACTGTAATGATATATGAGTTTATTGATAAGATAATTAAGAAATTCGATCAGTAATGGCTGATACATAATGAAGTAAAAAATTATATGTACAGTATATAGGAGACAAAAGGATATTCTTGTTTCATTAGCAAACATTGCTTATTATTAATTATCTGTAACAAGTATTTAGCCGATAATTACAAATATACAATTGCTACTAATNTTTTGTCTTCTAGGTAACGTACAGTACATTTGTAAATATGAATCGTAAATTGAGTTTAGAAAAACATCTTTTTATAGGTTAAAACGTAATTAAATATAACATCACTTTATACTAGTTAACTGACTTTTGGATCATCTTATAAAGTATGTACAGTATATGTATACACGGAAACAGGATGACTCCAAAAGATAATTAACTGTATTTTGTATGCTATACGTGTATATGTATGTGTACAAGGGTTGTCCAAAAATCCGTTAACCATGTTTTGTTTCCAGGTACATTTGTGAATATGATCTATAAACCGAGTTTTATTTTACAAAATTGATAAAAATATGAATTTTAAATATAATTATGTGTTCAATTATTTGTGAGAAAACAAATTAAGAAGACATAACAATTAACTGATATCTGGGCCATCCCATATTTTTCTATAAATATTTTAAACAAATTGTAAATAATAATATTATTGTTTAAGGTTGAAAGTTCATAAAAATTCGTAACTTTTCTAGACTCTTCAAGGAGTTAGAATAAACGTTAAGTAGTAGAATTTATTTTCCTTTGGCATCTCCTGAAAAATGTTTCAAGTCAACTTTTACATAATTAAATTTCTCAAGTGTTTAATCAAATAGATATATTAAGATCTTCATATTTTAATTATAGGAAACTTTTGGAATTTTAAGACGAAAATTAAAAATATTAAAGATTAATTCTTAAAAATTTGTATAATTCTTCAATCAGGAAAGTCAGATTTTATTAACAAAATTAATTATTATATATAATTTAGAAGAAGAAATCAAACCTTCATATAAAATTATTATTATTATTATTATTCAATAAATAAACGGAATTTATGATGAAATTTATAAGTAAATTTTAGTAAGACCGAGCCTTATAAAGGTGTTGTATCGATTCTTATTTGTGGACCGAACCCACGATTATTCATGATTAAAAATTTGGTTCGATTCTTAACTAGAAATAAATATATTTACGTTTTCTAAGTCGCAATTTTTATTGATTTACTTCTAGAAACATTTAAATATACAGCAAAACGTGCGTAAACCGGAATCGCATGGTATCGAATATTCTTTCCGGTTTGGTAAGTTTCCGTTTTGAACAGGTTTTTTTTTCTAAAAAAACATAGAAAATCGCTCCGTTCTGAAGAATATTTCCCCTTTAAGAAGTTTTCCGTTTTATATAGGTTCCGTTTTGAACAGGTTTTACTATATAAATCTATAATTGAAGATCGAAACCACATTTTTATTTCCATAATTACCATCTGACTCACTTCTGTATAAGAATATCAATATTTAACAATAGATATACAACATAATTTTCATAAAAATTTCATACAAATCAATATCCCAATGAAGAAACTTTTATTTTATTGAATTAACTCGTTGTTACTGATGCTAACGTGGTAACATCTTAAAATTTTGTTGTTAAATTCCCTTAAAGAACTTCATAGTAGTAACAATATTACAGATTTAAATATTTTAAATATCGAGGAATATAAACATAAATATTTTAACAAAAATCTCATTTTTAAAATTACTCGCTTGTGTCTTATTATTATTATTATTATTATTATTATCAACTTGAGGATATACTAACGAAAACTAATTTAGTATTAACTTAGAATCATTAACAGGATAGCAGCAGCATAGAGAATTAATCATTTCCTTAAGGCTATTATTCATCATCATCCGAAAGTAATGTAAGTATTATCAATTTAAGTATATGGTATCTAATAAACTTCCATTTTTCTCACTTTTCTTTATCTAAAAATGCATAAAATACAATTGAATTNTTTAGTTAAATATCATTCTAGAATTCAAAAATTAATTTTATACTCTATTCGTGACGACGTAAGCTTACGAACAAACCTATAATTTGTAAATGTAAACATTAATTTACTATGTATATCATCTAATTTTGAATTAATACATTAATTTTAGTAAGAAATTCAATTTAAAATATATGAACATTAACTGTATATAGTATAATAATAGTAAAAGTATTCTGCGTATTATATATGAACTAAGTGAATTCGTTAACTTAGCAAACAATTTTAATGTTTAAAATATTATAATATATATTTAAAACTTATTACTACAAAATATAACAACATTTAATAGTAACTATTTGCATTATTTGATAGTTTAAATTGTTAAAATCACGTTGCTTCTCTGAAATTTCCTTACTAATGTATTCAACTCGTTACTGTGTTTGTTATTTAGCTAATAAACAGTAAAATTATGTATTAAAAAAATGTTTAAAAATTGCAAAATTGTTACCATTTTTAAATATATCTTAAAAAGTAATTATTCGCATTAATTTTTACATATTCTGTAAAGGGTGGTCCAAAAGTCAGTTAACTACGTGAACCGTTCGAATAAGCTACGAAAGGATTTTAATAATTACGATTTCATTTGTTAAAGTGTTTTTATTTGTATACTGAACAAAAAAGGATCCCGTTATTAAAGAATTTCTATATTACAGTATTTATAAATGAATATGAGTAATATAGTATTTACTACAGTTAACTGAGTTTTGAACCATACTTGTATTTTCTTTTTTAGATAAATTTACCTGTATAATAATTAATATTATATATCTTCCAAAATTCTTAATTTTAAATGCTTTTATACAGGGTGGTCCAAAAATCAGTTACNATAATCATAATAATCATAATGGAATTCAAATTATTTACATTATTAGGTAAAGGGGGAGAAGTAATTTATATCTTTATTGCAAGAAAATTATAAGGTAAAGTAGAAAAAAGGGAGGGAAAGAACAACTAAATTTGCATATTTATGTGATATTACTTAACTGTAAAAAATAATAACAAAGAAAGAAAATAAAACAGGATTACATGGTATCATCCTTTCTCATATGTCACATCCCGATCACTAATTTTATTTGCACGATATTTTATTCATAGAGAAGGTTACACAACAAGAGGTAATAAATGGCTAGAAGGTGAATTAATTTCTATTAAGAGGCAATATATCACTGTCCTTTAGTATCATTTTCTTTTTCTTTTCTTTTCTTTTTGTATTTTTACTTGCTTCGTCTTAATTATCTAAAGCTGAAGCTGAAGATGTAGAAGATGGCGATCTTTTCTAACTAAGAAAAGGAGGTAAAAAATATATACATACATACAAATTTAGGAATATTTATAAAATATGCAAATATTTATTTTTTTCTTGTAAGTAGAAAGCATAATGGAAAGAAATATTATCGTTTGATTCGAGGATTATTGTTATCTCTTACGAAATTTAAAACGTGTTANTGAAATG